GAGGCCAGAAGAAGGCGTCAGATCACATGGAACTGGAGTTATGGATGATCATTAGTTGCCAAGTGGATACTGGGAAGCGAACCCTGGTCCTCTATAAAAGCAGTCAGTGCTCTTAATCACTGATCCATCTCTCCAGCCCCTTATTTTGTTTTTTAATGACCAATTGAGTTTAATTAGGGTGTTTGCATGAGGATGGGTGTGGGGTTATTAACCTGAACGAGGGCAACTTAGCAGTGGTTCCTTGTTGGGGAACCCTGCTGTTAGGGTTGTAGTTCTCCATGTCTGGATAGTCCTGAGGGGCTCGGCGCCAAATGGAAGGACTCCCCTTTCCAGCAGGGGGCCTCCTGCTCTCTTCCTGGCTCACCTGGAAAGTGCCACCAAGCACGGATGCCTGACCTTATCTAAAAACATGACCTTTGGCATAGTTACCTGGAGTAAAAACTACCCCCAGGTTTTTTCTATATGATAATCAGGCATTGCCTGATAGTCTGGAAGATAGGAGCCCTCTGCCACATGTAAATAAAGCACACTATGAGCACCTATCAACTGCTTTTGCTACTGCCTCCACACTATAAATTCTCTAGTTCTCCCACTGAATAAACGGAGCTGTTTTCACTGTGTCTGGAGCTGTATCACTGCTGTTTCACTGCGCCTGGGACCAGTCTCCCTGGAAGGGCTTTCTTCCATCAGTGCTCACTGGCCGTCCTGACCCCGTTCGCCGCTTCTGCTCTCCCTGCCCTCGTGGGCCAGTGGCCAACGACCCACGAAGAGAGGGAGAGACTCCCGTAGTTCCTCACTGAAGAAAACTGATTTCCCCTCTCCTATTTATGATGGAATGTTGACAGGGCCTATCTTGTGCAGATAACCACAGCTGCCATAAGTTCATGAGTGCAACAGCCATGTCATGTCCAGAAGACATCATTTTGCAGAACTCCTCCCCATCCTCTAGCTCTTAATATTCCCAGCCCATCTTTCACAGTCTTGCCTGAGCCTTAGAGGGGTAATACAGATGTCCCGTTTAAGGTTGAGCACGCATAAACTTATTATTGAGTAGTTAGAAGTGTCTGCATTAAACCAATGTTCACTACAAAGAGAAGCTTCTCTGACTGAGGCTGAGAGCAGCAGTAATCTGCTGTGGAACCAGTCCTTGCAGGCATCGCATTCAATCATGAAGCCGTTCACTTGGTATGAGGGCTAGCACACATGGTGCATGGGTGGAGGTGGATGGGGAACAGAGGCCTGGAGCTGCCACCAGCACTGCTCACAGTCACCACTTTGGCCATCTTACACACACACACACACACACACACACACACACACACACACGAACTCCTCCATTGTTTTTTTGTTTTTTTGTTTTTAAAGAAAAATTCTTGCCAGGCGTGGTGGCGCACACCTTTAGTCCTAGTGCTCTGGAGGCAGAGGCACAGGGATCTCTATGAGTTCGAGATCAGCCTGGTCTACATAGTGAGTTCCAGGCCAGCTGGGGCTACAGGGAGACCTTGTCTCAACAGACCAAAAAAACAAAGTCTTACGTAGCCCAGGTTAGCCTTGAATTAGTGACCCTCCTGCCTCAGTTTCCCACATGCTGAGATTACAATTACATCCTATTATGTCTCAACTCACCATTTAACTTTCTCATCTTAGGAAACTCATTTAGCTTCCCTAGCCCTCAGCTCTTCAATGAGTAGGCAACTCTCTCAAAAGACTGTGCTGAAAACTGAACAGTATGCAGGACTTAGCATAATGTTTCATAACATTATGTACTCAGTGCAGACTGACAATAATAACTATTAATACTTATTGAATATGATGATGTCAGGCTCTATTCTAGGTGGTGGGGATAGAGCAGTAAGAACAGGATGATCCTGCAGTATACATACACAGCTGATGATGTGCATGTTGACAGGGGACAATTCAGGTGCAGCAAGCATTATGAAAAGATATAGTGGTATGTCTCGGATTTTATATGTGGTGTCAAGGAATGCCACTCACCCAGGAGGGGCCATTTCAACTGAAAACTGGATAACAAGATGGAACTGTGTGCAAAGTCAAGGGGAGAACATCTAGACAAAGAGAATAGCTGATCAGGAGATAGAAATGAGATTAGTTTGTTTCAGGCTGGTGACCAGACCAGCATGGCTGGAATGAATTGAGGAAGACAGGGATGGTACCAGTACTGCTGGTGACACATGCTGGGTCTAGATCATGTGGGACCATGAAGGTCATAATGATGAGTTTAAATTTTATTATAAGAATGACCTGGGCGTGGTGGTGCATGCCTTTAATCCCAGTACTTGGGAGGCAGAGGCAGGTGGATTTTTATGAGTTCTAGGCCAACCTGGCCTACATAGTAATTTCCAGGACAGCTGGAGCTACAGGGGGACCCTGTCTCAAAAAGACAAAAAAATGATGAGAAATCCTCAGTTTAAGTGAGAGAATAACATTATTCAGTTCCCATTGTTAAGCACCAGCTCTGTCTGCCTGATGGAGAAGGGAGCATTGAAAGTAAAAGACACATTGGTCAGGAGGTTACTGTAGTGTTCCAGGATACAGGCAGTGGTGTCTTGGACCAGAATGATAGTTGGAACATGGAGAAAGAGAAGATGAACGTGTATATATATACATATATATGTATATGTAATATTTTATCTATTATTTAATGAGTGTATTGCCAGCATGTGTGTAAATGTGCCCATGTCGTGCAATGCCTGCAGAGATCAGAAGAGGGCATTAAATCCCCTGGAACTGGAGTTAAGGATGGTTGTTATCTGCCTTGTGGGTGCTGGGAATTGAACCTGGGTCCTCTGCAAGAGCAGCTAGTACTCTCAACCACTTAGCTATCTCTCCAGCCCCCAAAGTATATATTTTAACAAGAGCAAATGTGTATGTGTGGAGAACTAGACACATAAGAATAATCTTATGTGTCTAGGTCTTTGGCCTGGGAAACTGGGTAGATTTTATCAGACAGGGAGGAGTGGGTTTTGTGGAAAATGTGTGAGAGGGCTGTTGGTCTGAACAAGGGAGTGGTTTGGTTATAAGCCGCCTGGGAATGAGTAGCTGTAATAAACCCATTTTCAAATTTACCTTTTCTAACATTAAAGCCAAAGTGCTGAATGGTGGAATGAAACATAGGAATACAGAGTGGAACATAGACTGGGTGAAGTTGAGTCAGATTGAGAAAGGCCTGGAGCAGTAGGATGAAAAGACTGGCTGTTCTTTACAAGTGTGGCTCAGGGGTGTACACTGTAGATTGTCCACTGGGCAGTACCATGGTCAGCACTGGAATTTTGGTGTGTGTGTGTGTGTGTGTGTGTGTGTGTGTGTGTGTGTGTGTTTGCTGTTGTGTGGGGTTTTTTTTTTGTTTTGTTTTGCTTTTGAGTCAGGGTTTCTCTGTAGCCCAAGCTGGCCTAGAACTCACTATGTAGATGTGCCGGACATCTTTAGCTGTCAACCACCCACTTGGGTAGAAGGAATCTCAACTGACAAATTGTGAGAAAATGCCTCCATTGGACTGGGCTGTGGCCATGTCTATGGCGTATTTTCTTGATTTCTGACTGATGGAGAGAGGATCCAGCCCACTGTGGGCCGTTGTCACCCCTGGGCAGGTGGTCCTGTGTTGCATAAGAAAGCAGTTGAGCACAGGCCAAAGGAGTAAGCCAGTAAGCAGCATTCCTCCATGGTCTGTGCTCCAGGTTCCTGCCTCCAAGTTCCTGTCCTGAGTTCTCTGTGATGAACTATGACCCAGGACATGTGAGATAAGCCCTTTCCTCCCCAAGTTGGTTTTGGTTAGTGTTTTTATCACAGCAAATAGAAAGCAAAGATAATAAACCAGGTTGGCTTTGATCTCACAGAGATCTGCCTGCCTCTGCCTCCCTAGTGCTGGATGCTGTAATCCGGCATGTACCACCACACCCAGTAGCACTGGGGTTTTGGAAAGTGTCTGGCTAGATGGTTAGATGGGCCTGGCTGGATAACAGCTGGGAACCCTAATTTTTTCATTTGTTTATTGAAAAGGTGCAGTATTGGAACTGTAGACACTGGGGTTATAATAAGTAAAAACAGACACAATTCTTGTCCACATGAACAAGAATCAAATAGCTAATCCAATAAGCTTGAAAACAAGTGTAGAATCTGAACCCCAGGAGAAAAATACGATGTTTAAAAGCCATTTAGTAGCTGGGATCTGACTTTCTAAGGGCAAGACTTACTTGTGGAGACCTAGGTATCCACTGACCCTAGTTCTAGGTTATATTTTTGTTGTGAACTCACTGTGAATAAGGGTAAGTCAGCCACTGCCTATCTAGACCTTGGCTTGCCATTAATTTATTTAAAATTCAAAAAAAAATTGTGTATGCGTGTATTGCCTGCATGTATGTAAGTGCATCCATGTTGTGCAATGCCTGCGGAGGTCAGAAGAGGGTGTTGGATCCTCTGGAACCGGAGTTAGGAACTGTTAGCTGTCATGTGGGTGCTGGGAACCGAACCGGGTCTTCTGCAAGAGCGGCCAGTGCTCTTAACCACTGTGCCATCTCTCCAGCCCCCATTTGCCATTTATGAGGAAAGAAACACCAGCCATTTTCTTCCTACTCTCACGGTTTGATCTTTTCTCTAAAGACCACAGACCTGCATAGCAGCCAAGCTTACTAACTGGCACCTGAGGTCCTGAATCCTTTCCAGGAGGAACAAGCTGGTTGCCAGTAGTCATGGCAACCCTTCTGGGCGGAAACTTGGTGCAGTGACAGAAATGACGCAATTATTCTGCGTCCTATTTGCCAGGTTATAATATGGCCACCTCAGGAACAAGAGATCAAGTCTTCTCACTAAATCTCCTGGCCTGACCAACCGTTGAGGCCTACTCCAGGTCAGGAAAAGGAAACCAAACGCGCCAATGCTGCCACCAACACTTCCGGACATCTCCAGCTCCACCCTGCCGTGGGGCAGGCATCCGCCCACTGCCTAAACGTCACTTCCGCCGGCCGCTCGCGCAGTTGATTGACAGCCTGGCTGTCAACTCAGAAACCAAATCGTCCTGTAGGCCCAGCGAGGGGCGGCTCTGAGAGCAGGAAGCCAGATCTTTCGCCGCCGCTGCTGGCTGGTAAGAGTCGCCATGACCAGCTATCCGTACTGGCAGGTGAGTTGTAAAGGATGTAGGCCGCGTCCAGAGACCAGACCCAGGCTCTCCTTCTTCCCCCTTTCTGCGCGTCCTTTCCACGCCGAGGTTCACTTCAGCTAGGCCTCGTGAGAGGGAGAAGCAGAGGGCTTGTTGGTCGCACCCATATTACGTCACCCAGAACTACTCGACGGAGAGGTCGTGTCGCGCTCCCTTTGACGTCACTCACGCCTGGCTGGTGGGTTTGGGACCCCACCGATGCCTCCTGTGGGATGGGGGTCCTAGGTCCTGACAGGGTGTTTAGAGCTCCGGTTCTGTTTGCATGTTGGGGGCGTGGGATTAAAAACAGGTCTCCTGACTCACCCCACATATCCTGCGTCAGAATAATCCAGAGAACCTGTGATAGGAGGTGCAGAAGTGAGCTGGCGAGACCACTGACTTAGCCCATCACCATTGCACACGTGGGAAAAGTGCACCCCAGAGAACCTGGGTTGTCTGCTTGTGCCTCTTACTAACTTGCCAGCCTGTCTTGACCCAGACAGGAGCATCATATCCGTGCGATTTTTATGGCCAGAATTCTTTGTTGAATGACAGAATTACTGGTTAAGTGCAATTTGGAGTCAGGGATTGAGTCTCGGCCGCATTAAATAGTTTTTAAAATACGTTTTAAGTTAATTTTTTGTGGATTTCATACAATACATCTTAATCATTTAGCACCCCCTACCCTATCTGCACCCCCCCCAATAGCCCACCCACAGGACTTCATGCATTTTGTCATATATGCTAAGGCCTGTCAGTCAAGTTTGTGTACTCAGATGTCCTGGGTGTGAGTTCATCCACTGGAGCCTGTTCAGCCTGTTTAGCGACACTCCATTAAATATCAGCTCTCCTTCCTCACGCAGCAGTGATCAGCTGCCAGTAGTTCCTCACCAAAGTTGCAACCTCCTGCCTATTTTCCCTAGTTGCATTAAAAATAGTTTTGAACCCTTGAACAAGATAGTAGTCTTTCTGAGCCAGTTCCTCTTCTAAAATAGGATGGAGTAATAGGATCTACCTCAGAGCTGTTATGAAGAATGATGTGATTCCTTTTTTCGATATGTTTTTGAGAGGGTCTCTGTGTAGCCCCAGCTGACCTGGAACTGGCTATGTAGACCAGGCTGGCCTGGATGTCACAGACATCTTCGGACCTCTGCCTCCCAAGTGCTGATATTAAAGGTGTGCACCACCATGCTTGTCCCAAACTGTGCTCTTTAAACAAGCTCTCAGGTAATTTGATGCAGACCATCCACTAAGAAAAATGCACTATGGCAATGTTTTCCCAAATTGTGCTCCTCAGGAACACCAGTGTGTCACAAAAAATCGGCAGACTTAAAAGCGGGGGAGTTCCACGGTTCAGTTTTAGAAATTCTACCTATTTTATGCCTTTCTGGCAGGTTTACAGTGAACATTAGCAAATTAAGAGTCCCGAGATGCCCTATTGTGAACAGACTGACACAGCTGTGCTTAACAGGGTATTTCCCAAACTTATTTGACCACAAAACCCATTACTATCTCACAGAACTCAGCAAGTGAAAGGAGTCTTAGAAATACTGTTATACTTCTTTTTTATCTCAGCCTACACTGGTCCCTCTTCTCACCTCCGCTGAGTACACAATAAAAGGGGTCTGAAGCTCTAATACTGGCCTCACCCTTAACTGTCCTGTGGTGTGTGACCTTTAAGCATCTCTGGGCTTCTTCCTCAGCTGCAAATCAGGATAGTAAGCCTGTATGCCCACATGCCCTTCATATGGCGTATGGAGGGGGCAGCAAGGTGGCTCAGCAGGTAAAAGTGCTTGTTGCCAAGTCCAAGACCTATATGGTAGAAGGGAGGAACCAATTGCTGTTATCTTCTGACCTCCACATGCTGTTTGTGGCATGTGCAGTGCACATACCTCCACATGCACATACATGCACACAGGTTTGTATTACAAATGCCCACCAAGGACTCTTATCGTATCCTTTGATTTGTGACTATGATTGATCAAGGCCTTTCTAATATCTCATTTGTTTTGGTTTTCCACTTAACCTTTATGAGCTTAATCTCCGAAGTTACTATGTGATTTGGGGCAATTCAGGGCCCTTTTCCCTGGATTGTTTTGTCCTCTATAATGTGAGGGGGATGTTTTGAAATCTTCCCAGGAAGGACCCTTTAGGAATCTGATAAAAATAAAAATTCTAAGCCAGGTATAACCAAACCAAACAAAAAAAGGTTTTGAGTCCCATCTGTGCCTTGAAATCTGAGAGAGAGACGAGAGAGAGGGGAGAGAGAGAGAGAGAGAGAGAGAGAGAGAGAGAGAGAGAATGAATGAATGAATGTGTTCATGTTGGGGGAGGTGGTGCATGTATATAGAAGCCAAAGACATTGGGTGTCTGCTTCAGTTGCTCTCCAACTTACTTTTTTAGACAGGGGTTCTCACTGAACCTGAAGCTTACTGATTTGGCTAAGCTAGTTGACCTGCAAGCTCTAGATCCTCCTGTCTCTGCTTCCCTGGCGGTGGGATTACTGCTGTGCTTTGCCATACCTGGCTATTTACTTAGGTGCTGGGGATCTTTGTAAGCAGGTCCTCGTGTTTGCCCGGCAAGCACTTACTGATTGAGCCATCTTCCTAGGCCCAGTAATCTACATTTTGATAAGTTCTGGGTATGATTTGTACACACTCTAGAAGCAGTAACAGAATTCTGCTAGAACCCACCCCTACCCCTTACGAGTTTTATTGTCCTTGGATTGACCATCTGAGGGCTCTGAGCTTTAGTTTCCTCACTGGTAGAAAGGGAAAAACGACACCCCTGAAATGAGGATGGAACGCAGCAGAGCATATAGGGAGTTTGGCACATTGCTAGTGGATGGTACATGCCAGTGTGTGGGGGCAGTGCTTCTGCCATTGTGGTTACTGACCATGCTACCAGGGAAAATACTGAAAAGGAGCCCTGGGAGAAAAGTGTCTGAGCTAGAAGAAATGGTGCTTTTGTCTCCCCCTTACTGTTTTCTGCCTCCTCATCCCAGGTGTTCTAAGGAAGGAAACTGGTTGTTTGAAGTCATCTAAAGGCTCAGACAGTACGGCTGCCCCTCTACCCACTGCACAGGGTTGGAGGTGTCTAGCCTATTGCCAGGAGTCACAATCCCTGTAATTTTCCACTGCCTTCAGCCTGGGGTACTCAAGCATAGCCTGGGTGTTGGGGTAGTAAATATCAAATACCCTTTGGTTCAGTTGGGGAACCTGCTTAGGAAATTAGTCTTTGAAATCAGAGAGATTGATTCTCAGATCTCTGCCACTTATAGAAGTTTGTTGCAAGTCTGAAGCTCAATTTCCCCTTCTTTAAAATGAGGTCATAATGGCACCATCCTCCAAGTTAACTTTGAAGATTAAATGGGACAATCCATGTCAAGTGTTTGATATGTAGTAGGAAGAGGACTGAAGAGATGTAACTTGTAGGATCAGGATGTAAGTATGTAGTGGGAGTAGAAATAGGGTACTAGGATGGTGCAGAAAGGCCGCCTAGCTCAGTGTAGGGGACAGGAAGACTCTCCAGTAGAGGAAGTAATTTCACAAAGACCAGGAATTAAGTAAGACAGTCCAGTACTTTGCAGCAATTTTAAGATTGGTTTGGTCTGGTTTTAATGATGAAGGAAAAGAGGGCAAGAAAATGAGGCCAGAAATGTTAACGGGCCAGATCCCAAAGTGTTGTGTTTGTTCTTTGGGGGGAGGGATTTCCTTCTAAGAGTACTGGGGGAGGGGAGCTGGTGAAGGGTTTTGTCTCATTTGTCCTTTAGTGCTCATACTCTGGGGTCCTGAGAATGGATTGAAACAAGAAGGCCAGCTTCAAAGCTTTTGAAATACTCTAGACTACGAAGAACAACAAACTGGTGAAGGCTGGTCCGAGAAGCATTTGGGAGGTAGAGTTGAGGACACATGATGTTTAATTAAGGTGACAGAGGAAGGAGAGAGGAAGTACCCAGGAGGGCACCCATGGCTTTGGATTTGGGTGGCTGGGTGGCAGGAGGGGGCTGAAACACAAAGATGCATAAGGTTGGCAGGAGGAGGAGGAGGCTTTGGATATGAGGGGCTGCAGCCAGAGAGTTGAGGCTGGCAAGATTTTGGAGTGTCAGCACAGTGGTAGTAATTGAAGTCTTGGGACAGTCTTTGGCTCACTGTTCATTGGTTGCATGCTTCTGTCCTTTAAATATTTTAGGAGACTGTTGGTGAATGCTCAGACCATTCCTTCCATCTTCTTGTGATTGTTTAATCCTTTAGCCTAGGCTCCTGCCTCTTCTTGCAGGCACTTGATGGGTGAATTTGAGCAAAAGGCTTTCCTTGGCAGTGTACCCGCCTCCCTTCCTCATCAGGAATCAGTGTGGACCAGTGTTTGCTGACTCTGAGCCTCACCATGTTCTTGAGGGTAGAATGAGCCCTTGGAGCTAAAAGAAAATACAAGAATTTCTGAATTGGGAGGAGATGTGCTCTATGTCACTTGCAGGAGCTCAATTAGTGATTCCAGGTGGTGCTGGAGACTCTGTTATTAACCTCAAGGTTGGGTGAGTGGCATCAGGGAATGGGAATGACTTCCAGGAATGCTTTGTGTTACAAATGGGAATTTTACCTAAGCTTATAAAAAAGTTAATCATGTGTTGAGATCATTTAAAACTATTCAATCTGCCTTCCTACTGTGTAATCAGCTTGTTTGAGTCTAGGCATCCTTTAGAAAAGCAGTGTGAACAATCTCATCAAGCCTTGGGCTCCTCTCGTAATCCACTTTACAAGCTAAACACACACCTTCAATACTGGATTGTGCTCCCTGTTTCTCCTTCATGCCCCGACCCAGAACAGTGTATGTGTTGTGGTAATACTGCTGAAAGCAGCAGCCTTGGAAGCAGTTTGGAAACGACAGTTGACCACAGTAAATGTAAACAGCCTATGGGCTTGGGTTGTTAACATGTGTTTATGATTTTGTATGCTGTTTTGGGTCAGTAGGACGTCAGAAAA